TTCATCATACATGTACAACTGTGAGCATTATCTGTCTCAAATTATTCCATGCATAATTATCAAACTCATCTGTTTGGCAGACTGAGGTGTGAGAAGTTCTAAATTTGTTTAGGTGCAGATCTGTTTGTGTAAAAGCTCAACAACAGTTTCTTATTGCAGCAAACTACTTCATGGAAATAAATTAGTGTAAGGTTCCTTCCACTCTGACAGTTTTTGGGGCTTGCACAGATTTTTAATTCAGATGTTGCGTAATCGACTTATTTCTGTGTTGAAGCAGCCGCAGCGTGTCAACTGTACTCTTTAGTATTCTCTGCTACACATTAACAGCACTTACTGAATTAAAATGAAACAGACACAGTGAGACTCAGAGCAGCACGTCGTGCTATGAGAAAAAAATTACAACAATATATAAGTCATTAAGATGTTTAACTTGTCCCGGGCTGAGCACATTACATCAACAAACACCCTCCATTTGGAGTAAATAGTGGCAGAGCGGACAAACACTTCATTAAAACTTCACAGAGAAGACAAATGAAGAAAAAAAGGAGAACCTCGCTAGGGTTGCCTCATTACTCCCTCTCTTTTCCCTTTGAATTTGAAAGCCAAAGGAGTCGCTGTGCATCTACGGTTTCTCTGTGAGCTGCTGCTATGAGGTGGTGACCTCGCACTGCCTCCATCCTCTGTGTTACTCACATTTGTGTCTGTCCCCGGGGCTCTTCGTCTAAAGAGCTCGGACTGAAGAGGCAGGCGGGCCAAGCACAGTATGGCGAGGTTAGCCCGGCCCTGGAGAAATCTTCACAGCGACCTGATTTCTCTTAGTTGCTCCCCATATTCCCCAGATCTTCCGCTCATATTCACCTGATCCTCTGTCAGAGCCATTTTGTGAGGAAAAACTTCCTTAACAACAGTGAAACTAGAACAAGATTACAGACTCCAGCAGTTTAATTGCAGATTGCAAGGCAAGTTTATTTGTTCAGCACATTTCAGCGACAAAGCAATTCAAATACTTTACATAAAACATCAAAAAGCATTGAGGCAAAGTGCAAAAAACACATTTAACCCCATTAAAGAGCAAGAGAATAGAAGATAAAATTAAAAACTAGAATTACTGCCTCACTGTTGTACGCCTCTGTGAATCATCTAAGTGGCACTTAGATTACATCCATGTCAGTGAAAACATGGATGCTTCACACACAGAAGATCTATACAATCAGCACAGTTTCAAGATTAGAGTCACCAATTCAGTATCTGACCAAATGTCTCCCCTTCTGTTCCTGAGATATGACGTTAAAACTTGATGATGTCACAGACAAGCTGACCTTTGACCTTAGCACATGAATTCCCAAGTTAGGGCCAGAAACATGTTTTGTGAGGTGACAGTGACCTTGACCTTCGACCGTCAAATGCAAACCAGTCCGTCCTGGAGTCCGGGTGAACATTTGCGCCAAATTGAAAAAATTCTGTTAAAGTCAGATATTACATTCACAAAAACAAGATGGATGCAAGGTCACAGTGACCTTTGACCACCAAAATCTAGTTAGTTCTTCCTTGAGTCTCCTCTTCTGTTACTGAGATATGACGCTGTATAATGGCCACAAAGGGGCTCTTGCAAAACATTATGATGTCACAGTTAAGTTGATCTTTGACCTTTTGGATATAAAATATCATCACCACATTATTTTTATCGTATTCACATTTATGTGAAGGTTATGATTAACGTATTACTTCATGAGTCACGGCTAAAAACATGTTTTGTGAGGTCACAGCGACCTTGACCTTTGACGTCCAAGTTTGTACCAAATTTGAAGAAATTCTCACGAGATATTTCTGAGGGAAAAGTATTTCCTTATCCGCTGTGAGGGCTCAAGAATAAAGTTAAATTTGTATGCTGTAAAGCCCCCGGAGGTAAATTGTGATTTGTGACAATGGGCTTTATTAATTAAATTTCAATTTAAGTTGACACAGACATAATCACAGTGACCTTGACTTTTGACCTTGAACCAACAAATTCTAATCAGTTCATTCTTGAGTCCAAATGAATGTTTGTGCCAAATTTGAAGACATTCCCTTGGGCTGTCCTTCAGATATCGCGTTCACAAGAATGAGATGCACAGCCTGAAAACAAAATGCCTCCAGCCATTTCGCTATCGCCGGTGCCGAGGCAGAAAAACATGTTTTATTTCACAATAAAACCTAAATTTGGATAGATGTTGAAAAACAGCAAAGTTATCCTTTAATTGGAGATTACATTGCAGCAGCAGCCCGAGCGCCTAGCTGTCAGGTGTCCCTGCAGATTTTTCTTTCATTGTTTAATCTGGCAGATAATTGCATCCATTATTAGAAATGATGCATAAAGTCTGCCTGAGATCTGGTCGTGACTGTTTCATGAATCCTCATCAAAATTGCATATTTTCAATATCAGTGGGACAGCAATGTGTTGAGAAGAATCTCTCATCACAGCTTGTCATATTCATCTCGCCGAGATCTGAGTTAATATTAGAGATTGGTCCCCGAGTCACGTTCAGCCCCATCTTTTCATTCCAGCATCTGGATTTAATTGGTGCTACGCTGTAAAGCCACAGCTGCTCTGCCTGTTAGGACAATAAATTACCCCAATTAGGAGTCGAACAAAAGAGGCTGTCTGACACCACAGCCCGCTGCCATGCCTGGAGATTGGAATACGATGGAATGAGGCTTCTCGCTGACGTGAAGCCGCACCAAAACACCTGCCCCATCATCTCTCTGATCAAAACACAGTTCCAGTCCAGCGGTTATATAGAGCAGGAGGAGATTGCTTTGCATGGCCTGCAGCTCGCTGTAGCCTCACTCGCCGGAGCTTGTGGTGTGCAAATGAAATAGAAAAAGTGTCACAGTGTTTGAAATCAATAGAAGGTATGGTGGAAGGTGTGTAATTACTGGGCGGATGATTAATTGGTGTTTGGATGATGAGTTGTGGATACATCCAGGTTTTCTGGCAGCCGCCTGCCATATCGATGGCACCGGTAATGAAGGCAATAATGAGGGAAGGTTTAGGAGGATGTGGAATGGGAGGAACAATAGGAACATCTGTGCCTCTCTACAGTTAGAGTATAATTGAGACCATATTTCATTTTCCTCTTTGAAAGCTAGCCCTACTATACTCGCTCTCTGAGAGATGAGACATATTTATTTGCCGCTGTAACACATTCGGCAGCTCAGGCAACTCAGGTGGTCTACCTTTCAGGAGAATGTAGGGTAGCTGCCGCCGTGACAACGGTCTCTATCTCGATCAGCACTCCTTCCACGTCTCGGCCCGGCCACGCCATCCCTTTGTCTCACCGCTTGCTGTGAACACGCCATTAAGCCAGCCAGAGTTTGACAAGAAAAATGAAGTGTGCTATTTCCTTTGGCCTCGAGTGTCTTCCTGAATAATGAGCGCATCGCCTGGACCCCCCTCCCACTCCCTGCCATTGGTTTTAGTCTCCCCCTCCAAGTTCCAGTCTGCTGAGAGAGTGAAGGGGTCTTTAGGTTGGCGCTTGTCTCGGAGAAGAGAAAAAAAAAAAAGAAAAAAAAAAAGCAGTCATGCAAGACCTGTCAAACTAAATCTGGAAACCCCAGAAAAAGAAAGAGGATTAGATGAATGAAGTGGATTTTATTGATGAAATCCTCATCCCATGTCACGGTATTAGAGAATGCAGAATAGGGCCTACTGTATCTGAGGAGAAATCCATTATGATGGAGCATCATGAGATGGTGCAAACAGCTGCAAATGTGTGAGCCAAATTAACTGGCACTGTTTCTCCACATCTCATATATTTCCGTGCTTTTTTAAACACGTCAAATGGCTCAGTGGCACCACTGGATCATAGCAAAACGCTGCCTCATGCAGCAAACCGCTGAGAAGAAAGGGGAAGCTCCAGTGCTATTTCCTCGCCCGGCCTTATTTCTCCCAATTACCAGCGTGTGAGAAAACAGTCTGACACGACTGACCTCCTCTCGGAGAGCTGTGGTCATGACTGGAAGGCTCTCCCTGCTTATTATGACAGAATAGTTATGGTAATGGAAGGAAAGTCTGCACCGTGGCGATAGCACTGCAGGAACGGATAGCCTATTATCCACCACTGTGTGCTGGTAGTTATGGTGAGAGAGAGGGCATCCTATCTGTTATGGTGATGATGCATTTTAAATGGGTAGTGCCTATTATATATCAGTGGATGATAATGGCAGGAGAGAGCATCCTCTGGGTTATGGTCATGATGCCAAGGAAATGGTGAAAAGGTCCGCGCAGAATACACAGAGTGCGCCGTCGTGGTTTTATGGTGATGGATTGAACGAAGGGAGTGGCAGGGTTTTTCTCTCTCGGTTGTAATAACGGCGGGCCGGCCCATGTGTTCAAAGAGCGTGATTATCCAGGGAAGGGAAGACAATATATGTGTGTGTGCTGCTGCGTGCACGCGACAAACAAGAGCCACGCAGTAGAAAGAGAGCCTTAGTTAGCTGTCTGCTTGGCGCTTCGCCGCCCCTGTGATGTATGTTTATGGCCCATCATCTCTAGCCAATTACCCTGCCTCAGTGTGGGAGCGCTGCGCCTTCCCCATCACAGCCGTCAGTGTCTGAGCGCGGAGAGAGACGGCGACAGTTAACGTTCCTGGACATCCCTGGCAGTGCGCTGTTTTCCTAGGGGGCTCTGGAGATTCATCTTCAAAAGTAAGCCACGGGGTAGCAGAGTCTGCAGAGTCTACAGCTGCTGTGGGAATTGGAGGCTTGTTGACTGTGTGTCTCTGTGGGTGCGTGTGAATGCAGTGTGGGTGCTAGAAGTTAGCACAGTATGTGTGCAAACTTTGTGAATCTCAGTTTCCCACGCACGCTCCTGTGACTGCATCAATATGAGCTGCGTGGATCGCTCACAGTTCGATACATTGACGCATGCACATGGTAAATGATGTGTGATCATCACGTTACACTGAAAAGCCTCCCAGCTGGGAAATGACCTCGGCATGTCTGTTCTCTTTGTTTCCCAGATACAGCCGAGGCAGACGTGTTCATGTTCCCCGTTCAGGTCAACCTGCAGACTTTCTCCCACAAACACATCTGACTTTTACAAGGTAATCTTCATCTCTTTCTTTTTGCATCAGAAAATTGTGTTTTGTACTGAATTATACTTCTGTGTTCGGCTCTCAGTGGTGCCTCAGATTGCTTTTCCATAAAACGTTCTCCTGCAGAGAGAAGTCACATTAGAAAAGGTAAACCAAATCAAAGTCGCAGCGCAACAGCCACGAAGCCTAATTTGCTTTTTGCAGGGAGTTGTTTTTAACCCCGTTGACACCGATGAGGAGCGTGACTTCATCTCAGGCAGTCCTTAAACTTCACATTTGGATGATTCCTCTGTGAAACTGAGAATGCAGAGTGGCAAGACAAGGGTTTATATTTTGATTTTTTTTTTTTCTTTCTTTCTGGCTCCATATTCACACACTGTGACAGATTGAAACTGCAAAGCTGTGTTTGTGTTGGCTAGATGAAGGAACATTCCTGCCCAGAGGGTTTATCAGGGAGAGAAAATATTGACCGCCAACAGTTGCACTTTGGTGGTGTTATTGCTTTTCACACTTGTGTGATACAGACAGCAGTCGCCAAGCACAACAATTGTAAACCCGCAGCCATATTGACAGCCGCATTGCTCTTCTGTGCAGGGCAGCATATCCAGCTTATGCTGTTTACTTTTTAGCTTATTTCACCAAAGTGCTTTTCGCAGACAAATAACATAAAAGTGCTGCAACAAGGTGAGAAGGAAAGAAAATACTTAACTGGAGGTGAGACACCAGATCAAGAGGGGCCTCTAAATATCCTTCTAAATTAAGACTACAAAACACAATGACAAAACAGCAGCAGAATGTGTGTGTGCAAGTGTGTGTGGGTTGTGTGTGTCTGGCTCTCTTTCAATATGCTGTAGCGTTTTACTTGCTCAGCCAGCTTCTCTGATTATTGGTTTAGCTCACAGGTGAAGTCAATTCATCATCTCAGTATTAGAGGGTGAAGCTCTGAGGTATCGGCTATCGCTGCAGCTGCATATACGGCCCTCTGTTAGTGCAATTATAAACTCACTGGTATCACATCTCAATGTTTATTCATTGGTTAAAGCTGAAGAGACAGAAAATGACACTTTCACCAGTCACTCTGGAGGCAACTAGATTATTATTGTATGTTATGAATGTGATGATAGGATTAGATTTTGTTATTGTTTTACAAAATTCCCTTTTCCACTGGACAAAAAAGTCACTAACAACTGACACCCTGCTTTTGTCTTCAATGGGAAAGTTTCCAGTCATCATTTATTCCCAGTAAAAATGACTCTGCAGTGGCCACAGATATTTATTAGGGGTGGGGGGAAAAAAATCGACACAACATAGTATCGCGATATTTTGTGTGGAGATATTGTATCGATACACGGACGCCAAGTATCAATCTTTTATTGTATATATTTGATTTTGCAAATACACATTTTAACACAACTTTTCATACTAGAATAATAAATCAGTCGCTTTTTCGGTCCACTAGATGGTGCTGATGTTTTTTTTTCCTGGTGAGGTCAGCAGAGGTCTCATGCTGCGTTCGTTTTGTACTCGGAGGTCGGAAGCAGGAATGACGTCACCTCCGAGTTGACAACAGTTTTTGCATTCTAGTTGACGGTGGACAAGTCGGAAAAAAACATGGACGCCCACAAGAAAGCCTTTGTTGCCCTTGCACTTTCGGAGTAGAGACAGCTTCAAAACCATCATGCACTCCAACTGATGAACGCCGCAGATGAGGCTGACCTAATGTGAAACAAATAAGATAAAACTGCTATAAACAGTACTTTAGCAGAGTGTTTACTCACTATGTATGTGACTGGCAGCCATCTTGAATTCGTAAGTCGGGGTTGATGCGGTTGCTCCAAGTTTCCGAGTTGGAAATCCAATCTCAGGGTGCGTTCGAGTTTAAACTTCCGACTGGGAACTGGGAATTTCCAACCTCTGAGTACAAAACGAACGCACCATCAGTCAGCGACATTTGGCATGAAGTTCATCAAAACAAAGATGGAGGCACCGGAGAAAGAAATCAGAAATGTGCCGTCGAGGTTTAAATCAAGTGTGTTTTTAAACACAGAAGGAAGGGAGGACTTGGATATGACACATGAGATTTACAAGCAGTGTCATATGAGAGTAAAATACTCTGGGAATACTACAAACATGAGGGCTCACTTCACACACCACCATCCAGAGATAGTGTTAGCCGCTGACGGCCATGCTGATGCTAAACCTGCTACGGCGAAAAATCAACCAACACTGGACACAGTTAGCTCGACAAAACTACCATCCAGCTCTAAGAGAGCTCAGAAAATAACAGTCCATCACCTACTTCATGTGCAAAGATCTGAATCCATACAGCACTGTTGAAAACCAAGGCTTTTGTTACATGCTAAAAACATGTGAACCCATTCACACCAGAGCAAACACTGCAGACCTCCTTCAAACTGCAGCACAAGAATGTAACAGACAACACTTCTAACATGGCTGCTGCCATTCAGTTAGCGGGATACCTGCATGTGAAGTGTTTGGCTCAGGTCTTAATCTGTCCTCTCAGAGGGCGTTAAGTCTGCCCACAGTTCAGACTGCCAGGTGTATGCAGCATTTCTGACAGGTGTTATGACGGTGTTGGTCAGTCTGTCTGCTCTGTGTCACATTTTACTGCAACAAAAATGATTTAAGTCGATGAACAGACTGAAAACTTTAGCTGAAACTGCTGTTGACAATGTTTTCCTTCAGGGAAATAATTTGCAGTCAGAAAAGAAGGTAATAAATCCCAATATGTTTTAAAGCAGTACTCAATATATCTCAATACATTTCACATATTTAGGTCATATTGTATTATGACCTAAATATTGTGATACTATATCATGGGTTTGGCTCTGATCAGCAGTGATGGAAACATGACACCCAGGTGGACACATTAACTTTCGCCACTTTTACAGCACAATCATTGGTAACTTCTTCTGCCTCTCTCTGTCATCTCACAAATTCTGTCCATCCCGATAGCGCTGAAACATTTCTCCAAGTTAGTCTGCAAAAGAGAGACTGAATAGAGTGTGCCAGGGCTGACGTAAAAACCCGGAAGTTTAGCATCACGCTGGTTCCCAGAAGAGAAAGTGAATGTGATTTTTGCATTGCGTTTTGGATTATGTCAGAAAATAAGCTCTGTGGCTAACACAAGTTTATGATACTTACAGGTTTTGTTCAGCGAGATAATCTTCACATATGAACACCTTTCATACCACATTTGAAGCTTAAATGCGATCGCCAGAAGTAAAAAGCTAACTTTAGGCTTTAACGGACTCCATGTCGCATGACTCTTGACGTCACCTCCACTAAGCTTTCAACTGATTTCGGCCACTTTATTTTAAAAACATTGTATAATGGGGAAATCGGACTGTTTAAGTTAAATAAGAAGCTGTAATGGTGGGCTGCCAGCACTCTCGCCTGTTCGGGGGTGATAATGTTTAATGTCCCAGACAGGGTTTGTAGTCGTATTGAGTAGCTTGTTAGCAACCGCCTTTTTTACGACACGTAAAAGCTTCAAAATTCACAAGTAGGGTATTTACTGACGTGTTTTATGTCGTAGAACAAAACCTGAAACTCGCTTAAGCTTTTGTTAACCACAGACCTTATTTGAGGCATTTTACCAAAATCCCATTCAAAAAGACGTATTGACTTTTAGACAAGAGAACCGGAAGTGCTAAAAGCGCTAACGGAGTTCCGGGCACACTCTATAGGTAGCAGATAAAAAAAGAAGTACCCACTGTAACATTTTCACTGACCTCCATGCTGCTTTCCACTGTTTACTAACCCTGTTTTCTGGTGCGTTTGTGACGTTGAATGTGACACACCATATTTCCTGAAAGCTTGCGGACACGGACGGAGCAGTACCACAGGAGACATTTTTAAAATGGCAGAACAGAACAAATCAGTAATATAGGGAGAAGAATTCTCTGTCCACATGTTGTGATGTGTTTAGTGGCCTTACAGACCACCTCCATATACAACACTGCCTCTGTTTGGAGCCATTATTACGACTTCCTCCACCATCACCTCCTTTGTTGTTGTGTAAAACTGACTCCTGACACATGGTAGTATGATGGCAGTGATGTTTACAGCGTTTGAAACGTCTGTTTCTGCTCATACAGGGAGAATAAATGAGTGTTCAGTCAGTCATTTGTACCAAAAACAAAGTGCTAATTTTGTCTCAAATGTTATTTTCTGAATGTATTTTAATTCAATTTAAGGGAGCGATGACAGTGTTGGTCCTCATTTTGCAATATTCATTAAACTGTAAAGCCCATCCCTGTATGTAATAGACTAGTGGATGTATCATTGTGTTTCTACATTTTGAAAACTAGCTTCTGTGCATTCACCAGTTTTCAATGCCCCCATAACTTCCACGCTGATGAAGGAACTCTGCGTTATAACTTGGCTAAACTGCTGTAGCTGTTTTTCTAACCTATAATATTTTTAAGCGGTACACTCCAGTGAATGAGACGTTTGACATTCTGAAACGGCGGGGACTTGAAACAGCTTAAATCAGGGATCGAAGTGATCCTCCACATCCTCATCTGCTGCGAAGGCGTGCCAATGTGGGCATACATTAAAGATTCATGCAAACAGCTGTTTCTTCTGCAGGACAGCATGGCTCAGAACGATACTGTGTGCTTAGATTTCAAATCAGGGGAGCCTAGAGGAGCCGGGTTTGAAAGAACACGACATACAGTGCAGGCTACTGTACCAGGGCAGGAAATTAACAAATGCCCGTCAAAGGCAGATAGAAACTGAAAACACATCCCTGAAACTGTGAGTGGGAGTGCAAAACATTTCTATAGCAAAAAAAAAAAAGACTGAGGATCAGCTGAGAGTCACATCTTTAGAATAAATATGGAGAGTTTTAGTAAAAGCCGTTCAGAAACGAGTCTTAATATGCAGTGAGTCTGAGTAAACAGGAGTCAAATCAGTAATTTCCACACACACACTGTGACATTTTCCTAAATAAGCATGACTGTTGAATTGTGAAGCACCACCAT